GATGAGATTTTGGAATTTGTTTTGAAATATTTATAGAATGAATTTTGTAATATCATGAGAGATTGTTTATTTCTTTATCTTATTAGATTGCGTTTTATTTTCTGTAATCTTTCTTATCGTCTCTACGTTTTTGTAGATTTTATATCTTGTGTTTCACAAGTCGAAATATAACATTATGTAATACTGAAACGAGCCGTAAGTGCCGCTTACAATCTGACAGATGTCAATTTCAATTGAATTTGGAGTTCACGCGTCACTTAGACGATATTCGAATGTCGTTTCAGTATCCTTCTGTATGCAAATAAATGTGTTTGAGTCATTTTTAAATAGATCTTTTATAAGAAATGTAATGTTTTATTCTTAGACATTTGTACAGTAACTTAGTTTTAAGTTAAATTAAGCTGTTTAAATAAATCGTTGAGAGTTACATGTTTTATTTTTTTTACCCAGTATTGGTGTAAAGGTATAAATAAGGTCGTCGGTGGCGCAGTGGTTTAAGCATTTGAGTTGCAATTTACAGGTTATGGGTTCGAATCCCGCTGTAACAATGTGATTTTAAATTTTTCATATGTACTTAATTTACCCGACATACTTACGGTGAAGGAAAATATCGTGTTTACACATCGGCGAAGAAATTCAAAGATATGTGTGAAGTCAACTTGCAGTGTTTGTGGTTGACTATGGCCTAGTCATCCTAACTTAGGATACGCTCCGAGCCCCTCAGCAAGGACGTATAGTGAGCTGATGATGATGGTTAGTATAAAAAAGACAAGATGGAGACGTCAAAAGTGAGTTGACAATAACTAGCTTCAGTATATAAGTGATGAAAACACATTCTTAAAGTTACTAACAAGTAATCAGACCCTGGTCAAGTAAAACTATATCGTAGCTCACTAGCGCCATTGCTTTTTGAGTAAACTAACGGTTTCTGTTATGTTTAAAATGCGTGTTTTGTTGATTTTTTTCGATTAAAATTGAGATCCGAGAGTTCTATTTATATAAGTAAATTATATGATTTCTTATACAAATTGCTATTTCTTGTTGTTCAATAACTAACTCTTATATTATATTGATAAGTCAAGATAATAGTAAAGTTTATTCCATCGCGAAATAATAACATATAATAAACATTAGTTCTAGATAACTAGCTATTATTTTTTTAATAACTATTCACTTTATCTACATTTAAAGAGTGTTATTTATTAAAAATATGTATTATAATTATCCTATTGTGTCCAATTTTATCTTCATAATGTGAAGTCGTTAAGATTAGCGATTTTTATCAAAGCAAGTCTACTGGAACACATACGTGATTTGCTCCGTACTTTTTTGACTGAATTGCCACTGTTTGCTTGAGAGGTAATTTCAGAGAGATCGAGCGTAGATGGCGCTTAGCCTAAACCTCGTTAACCTAAGCTCGAGGCCTCCCTGAAGTCTCGGCTCGGGCCGTTACTTCGTTATTGCTCTGTACTTTAGTGTGCATGTGTTAAACACTAGGTCATGGACATCGCTGGGCCCCTGTCTTTATCAAGATTGGGGTCACGAGGTGGGGGCTCTATAAACCCCGGAGGCACCAGCCGACGAGGTGGGGTTCCC